CAATCAGTGGCGCAGAATGGACATCGGACGAGTCCATTGGCTTCTGTTGCCTAAGCCATTCGTGGAAGGTGATCTCTACGACCAATGGCCAAAGTCTGTCGTCAGTTCCGATGTTGTTCGATGGTCAGACGAAATCAGGCTTTCAGCGCCTGGAAGTTCTCTTCTTGGACTGTCTTGGCCAAGAGTAACCTGAAATATGTGACGGTTTGTTACAAGTGGAAAGGGGGATGATAGGGTATCCACTCGTTTGAGTTCACATGCGTGATGAGAGCAGATTAATTATCTCGATAGATTAAATGCAGGAGCAACTGTCAGGGATGTTCGTGCTGCTGCCCGACTGGACCGATTGAACTTGTCTAGTTTGAAATCAGCAACCCCCAAAATTATACCAAGATCCAAGAAGAAGCATTCAACTAACAGAGAACAATGCAAAGAGTGCATTCACCTTGTAATGAGTAGCCACAACCGAAGAAAGACAGAAACGCTACTTACTATATAAAAGGAAGATATGTTGATGCATGCATATGTTTGTGGAGTCATCTTCTGCAACGGGTTACGTGCAATATCAGAGTATGCCTCCAGATTGCTTTAAAAAGCAAAACGTAACTCAAACTCTGGACATGAATTGGTTATTCATATACAGCAATCCCTTATCTGTGAATGTTCAACATTACGAACTGTGCAACTACTTCCAATGAGCAACATCCGGGCTGCCAAAGACATCACACACGCTGATGTCCCTCTCAGGCAGTTCAGTCAGCGTCAAATCAAGACATGCTAAAAATGGTATGATATATATTCACAGGCATTTTGATAGCTTCCTCCGCGGCTTGTGAGACAAGTCCCATACAAATCAGCTTCAGTAAAGTGTTCGCCTCCTCTCCGGACGACAGGTCCAGTTTCTTCCTGAGCCACGCTGGCGTAGAACACAGCTCAGACGGGCTACACGCCGGCTCCGATCCCCCGCGTGTGCCCCGTCCGCAGCCGGCCGGCGCCTGTGTCGCGCGGGGGGAGGCGGGGCCCGCCTGCCCCAACCGTCGTGTGCGGCGGCGGCGGCCCGACACTGAATCACCGGCTGAGGGACGACTCCATCGGCCGGCCGTCAGGTACCTCGCACTCGGCGCGACTATCGCTCGATCGGACCGCGTCACGTTTGTCTCCCGAACGGCCGCGTCTGGGCCGGCCACCCGGCCGGCGAGCGGCGCGCCCGCCCCGGGCGCCGGGCTGGCGAGCGGGCGTCCGGCGGGTGCTCCCACAACTGACACCCACACGGGACCGGACGGCGGACGAGCGTCGAGAGGTGACGCCTGCTCGGGATTTGGCGGCGGACACCCTCGTGAGGGATACCTGCGAAGGTCTGTCAGGTAGACCCCTGTCCCTCCGAAACACACCCCAATGACCAAAAGTGGGGTCGCCCACACCCTGCAACTCACAGTATTGGTAGCTACTTCCGACTCTCGGGTCGTGCGGAAGGAGCGACATATGTCCCATTGCCACTGATTAGGCAGGTGGGACGTAAGATATCGCTTATAAGCAAGGATGCGCTCAGGACATGCTCGGCACAAGCCCTGAGCGAGGAGAGGGGTCGTACAAAACCTTAAATTTTCATTAGAAGTGGAAAAGTTATATAAACGTCAGGCATACTCCTATGTCTTCCTGTCAAACGAGCCTCGAAGCTGAATGTGCCAGTGTTTCTGGTCGCGGAGTTCACTGTCATTGCCACTTTATGCTTAATTATTCGGTGAATTCAAAATGCATTTTTGGAAGGATGTACGAAGATAGAGTATGCGACGGCACGATTTCCTTTGTACCGGAAGTGAGACACGTGCGGTCATACCAGCCAAATACCTGGCTGTGTGAAAGCAGGTCTGGATTCAATGAATAGTAATTCGTCATTTATCTTCCTTGATCACAAGGCAAGTGTGTCATAATGTAATTGATGCATTTATTTTAAGTTATCAATTATGCCGAGTCATTAATAACCGCATTTCGTGAACAACTTGTCGGTATTTAACAGATGAACGTGGAATGATGAAGCTGTTTTCAGCTCCATTACAAACGTGATCAAATCATTAGCATAACAGGCCGCTAATATTTCTTGCCTTCCCACTCGAGCACCCTCTTTGACGTTATGGAGTTGTTTTTGTCCTCCGCTGCCCACTTTTGTTGTCCGCGCGACAAAAACATCCAATGAAGATGGCTCGCTGACAGATGAGGAAAAGCCCCGCTGAGATCGTATCTGGAAAGAATAGCGCTGCGTGTCTTTATCTTGATTTTAAGACTTACTCTGAAACCTATTGAATGCGTCGCACCGCGTGAGCCGGCTCGTGAGCCCCACAAAAAGGGCCGGACAGGGCGGCACGTGTTTTACAGCCGACTGAGGACACCTCAAGCCGGCGGGGAGCGCACAACGGAGCCGCCTTCACACGCGCCGACGCCACGACGGCCACCAGCGTGGCTCGCTGCTCAGCAGAGAAGGCTAGCTCCAGACCGTGTTCCTGCCCACTGTTGGAGGCACGCTCCTCTGGATACAGATTCGCAGGACGTCCCTTTCTCTGGGAGGGATACGCTCCTCACGGCCCAAACATGAGCGCTTGGAGATAACTCCACGCCACTTCCCTGTTAACTGGTAAAGGTGCACTCCTCAGGAGAGACGGGGAGACAGCGCCCGGATTACCCCGCTTCGGTTGTTATTACCCACTTGAGCCGCAGCATAGGAAGCAGACATCGCAGGCAGCTATCTAAGTAAAGAAGAAGGCCACCTCATGCCTTCCGTAACGACCTCACCGCCATCGTGCATGCCGCCAGGTTCTTAACTGCCGATTGCAATTGCAGAGGACAACGCGGCGCTTCGCTCATTAGCCGTTCGGTTATCGCTCGCACCATCAGCAGGGACCACCGGGCTACAGCCACAGGAGACAACGCCATGCTTTGTTGACGACGTCCACCCCGACAGGGGGCCATCGTTCACCCCGTCTGTCGGGGTACCGCAGGCCCGCATCACCATGCACGAACGGAGCGAGCTTTAGACCATGCCGTCATGCCGTTCGAGATGCTATTTAAGATTCGGACGGTCGGCTGCGGGGTGGGGGCGAGGAGCGCCGGGTACCTGATGTCTCGTCGGTTGCACGCCTGCAGTTCGGTCCGCAGCTTGTAGATGTCGGCGCTGTATTTGACCGTGTCGTGCGATCTCTCGTGAATCATCAGGTTGTAGGCTTTCCTGAAACAATGGGCAGACGCATCAGTGTGATGAAACGGGACACAGGTGTCTTGAAACTTGATTTCGTTGGATGAAAGAAATTTGGCAGAGAGCCTTTGCAGGGTAGCGCTAGTCACGCTTTACTTTCTGCTACGCGCGTGAAGGCAAGGTTGAAGCTTCGTACGTTGGATTTTAACGGAAGGGTGGGTCCGATGGGTGGTGTGTGGAAGTAAATGACGTTCAAAACCCACTAGCCGGGCTACAATCATTTTGAAAGCATTCCACTACTGCTGGGGATGTGTTTTATGTAAGCGCCAATTAATTGGCGCCGTGCGAGGACCGAATCGTAAAAATATGTGCTGTGTTCTAACGAACCACTGTTTTGAATGCCAACAACCGTCTTTAAAGTGCCATACTCAACAGCATCACTTTAACACATGCATCTTGTTTTTGTGACATTCGTTTGGCTTATGAGATAAGAAAGACATTTGTTGGCGCTCGCCTTGTACTTTGGCGCCGTAAGCGTCCAAAATAACTTTGAGCTAGCATTAAAAACAAATTTAATTTTTCGCTTAGGGTAAAGAAATTAGTTGGCATTAGCGTACATGAAGTATATCAAGTTATGCTGTCGTTATTCTAGATACTGGGAATTATTACGACGCATTCATACGTTCTCATATTCTTGCAGTACAATATTTTCCACCTTCGATTTCCAATTTTTGTGTGAAGATCCATGAGGATCATACAACTTTCACTTGCTCTTACAAAGCATCTTCAGTTTTAGGTTTCAGTACTTAGGAACCCACGGACAATCACGAATCTTTCAGTAAGTGAACGAGGAGCTTGACAAGGCAGTTACGTTCATTTTGTGCTGAGAACAGACCAGAAATTGATATTTTCAATTTTATGACAGAAATGCGTCCAGTCTAGGCGTCATTACAGCGCGTTCTTCTCGTCCGCGTACGGCGCCATTGAGGTGGGCTAAGGCGCCAGCATACTATTTTATGCTGATTGTCCACCTACGACGCCTTCAGAGAGCTACACTTGGCGTCGTATGTGAAAAACACCCGAAATATGCTGTTAAAGTAAATAAGTGTGCCTAAAACAACGCACGGACACCCATGAAGCTTTAGCATTTAAAAAAGGATACTGAGAGCACGTCAGTACGGGGCAGATTAGTCTTTCGATTGTCAAAATGCATCAGAACTGGATGTTTTGCATTTGAAGAAGCGTGTTAAGTCCAATATGAGCGCCATTGCGGCGATTTATTCCATGCGTCTTACGATGTCATTACGTGGTCTTAGGCGCCATCCTGTTCACCGCGCACTTTCAACGCATTCAGAAAACTTAAGGTTGGCATTGCATAAGGAAAAAAACACGAATGCTGCTCGTTTTATTCTTTTTGGACATTCCGTGCTCAGATGTCCTTTCAAATATATTCTCTGTGGGCATTCCAGACTCAGACCTTCCCTCAGATTTATTCATTTTAGACATTCTAACTGCTGCAATAGTTCATTGATTCTAGATCGTCCCAACAAGAGTTGTCTTTCCATAAAAGCACGGGTGCAGCACCGTTTCAAACGCTCAAGTATAACATTTGCTGTTGTGATATTAGCTTAAGAGCAGGGGTGCAGTTTCCTATCCAAGGGGCTTCAGCCCCCCCCCCTCCCCCAACTTTGAACAGAAAGTGGGAGGGGGAATCCGGGTTTGTCCTGAAATACTTATCTTCAAAATGACTCCCTGTTACGTCTAAATACGCCCTGTTTGCGAAATGTTGGGCCTGGAACAGGGCCCCTCGCAGTGTTGACCTTGAATGAGAGCCCTCTCGCGCCCAGAGGCTATTCACGCCTCTTTAGTAGCGTAGCCAGGATTTGGCCCAGAAGGGGGCCAAATCGGGTCGCAAGGGGTCCTCCAGTCAAGAGACTCCTTATCATTTTGTCGCTCTGTTTTTGGCAAGTTTTTTTTTCTCCGAGTCTTTACATCCGAACAATTCTATCCTTAGCTCCAGTCGTCCTAAGAAAATATCCGATAGAATGTTTACCTAGTAGAAATAGGGTCGTGATTTCTCTATCCGGAAGAACGTTTTTGCCTCAGGATCCTATTTTGATGGCTCGGAACTGTTTTTATATGTAAAAGTCCAGTGGGTGTATGAAATTGCCAAAATTTAACTGAGGGGCTCCACGACCCCCAGGAAGAGAAAGAGGGGAGGCATGGATCCATCCCCCACCCCCACCCCATCCCCCAACCCCACCCCTTAATGACTACATCATCGTGCCTCTTCAAGTTTAGAGCACAAAAATCCCTTGAGGGCCCCTCCGGAATCAACACGAGCATGGGTAGCAGTGGAATATGGGTGGTTGCCGGAATCATTCAGAAATAAAGGTGGTAAGGTCGCAGGGAACTCAGTCTCATGGACGAGACCATCGAAGACATCAGGCCCTCTGGAAGGCTCTCAAGCTGTGCGCCTGCTCCGATCATGGAAAACTCTATGCACTCTGCTGGTTTGCCTGTCTGTCGAACATCTGAGAAACAATGCTGAAGGGTCGTTAGAGCATCTGAAAATGATCGCATTGGAACAAATCCCATTGCAAGAAGAATGACCTACCCTTTGTCAGAACACGTTGAACTACGTTGCCACATACAGCGCCAGAGCTAGGTGTCGAAGCTTTTAGGACCCTAGATTAACATCACAGCACCATTGCGCGTAAGATGAATTTCCAGTTTCGGTAGATGTCCATCTACGGCGCCAAAAAGCGCCAAATCCACCAGGTTTCTGGAGATGTGATTTTTTCTTCGAAGCAACTTGCAAACCATAGTGGTGCTTAGATTGCAAATAAATCGACATGGCGGTAAATCTGTATATGTGTCTCACCAAATCCATGCATATCGCTTGCAAGAATACACTGCCTTCACTTCGAAAAATCCCAAATTGCCGGTGCCAATATTACCGTCTGAGGAGCCAAAGTCCATTTCGTTTAATTTCGTGTCACTCTGTTGATCTCTTTTGGCGCCAAATGTTGAAATCCCCGTTACAGGTAATATTTGTAATACTTGTACATTTATTTTGGAATGCAATGTTGTTGCTAAAATTGATCTGAGTGAAATATTCAACAAACGCTTAATATGTATATCAAATAAGATGCGTTGTGATTTGTTTGCAACTCGAAATATGCTCAAGACAACTTATCGTGAAGCGACTCAAATACAAATCCTATGTTTCGCGTGGCTACCCTCAGTGGTGATTGTTTGACTTTCACCACGTGCATTCTCAGCACCAATGTACCAAAAGCTTACTTCATCGGAGTAGAAACTCCCGCCGCTTGCATTGTGTACGGAAATATGCGCAACAAGTCTGGCATGGCTGTTCTCCCATTGCTCCCTTCATCACTCAACATTCATTGTAATTCATGTTTACTCCTAACAAAGGCGTTCATTTAGGACGAAAATCCGTTTATTGTACCCCTGCAAGTCACCCTTTCATCGTCGGCCTGCTCATAGGCCATCGGCACGGCGGCCCGGCATCCTTGATGTTTTGCAATTCTCAGTCCGTGGCCGTGCGGCGCCTTATGGCCAGCGCTGAGATACGGCGCCATCCGCGTCCACCTTTGAACTCGGCTAATGTATGCGGTGATAAGGTGCCCAGTCCGGCCCGGCCCGGTCACGCGCGGTGAGGCCCGCACACCGGCGGCGCATTGTCCAACCCGGGCCGAGTCTCGACTGGCACCAGCGCTCCCTCCCGACCCACCGCAGCCGCCGGGGCCGACAGGTCTGCTCCAGGGGAATCTATTCCGACCCAAGACAACCCTCTCTCTCTCTCTCTCTCTCTCTCTCTCTCTCTACTCTCTCTCCTCTCTCTCTCTCTCTCTCTCTCTATCTCTCTCTCTCCTCTCTTTCCTCTCTCTCTCCCCTCTCTCTCTCTCCTCTCTCTTCTCTCCCTCTCCTCTCTATCTCTCCTCCTCTCTCTCTCTACTCTCTCTCCTCTCTCTTCTCTCTCTCTCTCTCTCTCTCTCTCTCTCTCTCTCTCTCCTCTCTCTCTCTCTCTTCTCTACTCATCTCTCTCTCTTATCTCTCTCTCTCTCTCCTCTCTCTCTCTCTCTCTCTCTCTCTCTCTCTCTCTCTCTCCTCTCTCTCTCTCTCTCTCTTATTAGAATCATCAAACCCGCTCCAGTGTCGCCTTCGGAGCAGAAGGCAATCGAAACAGTACAAGGGGCCATATCCAGCGCAGCATCACCCGACGCCCAGCCCTACACCAGCGCACACGCGCGGTATCGCTCGAACCTGTTCGCACAGCGATGTTCCCACAGAGCAGTGATATACGGGCGAGCGTCCGTCGCAATCATGCGCCATATACGTCTGGCCCCGGACAGGAAAAGTGCCCAGGCAAGACCAGCACCGCGAATCGAACGTGTTACGAGACCGCGAACGCCCCATAACTTCGACTGTATCGTGTTCGCGAAGCCGGGGGCAACGCTCGCCGATGGTATCGCACCCGCAAGCGACGGCTGGGGCACCGTGTCAGCCAGGCGGCGGAGGGCGTGACCTTGGAGGGGAGCGCCTCACCTGAACAGCCGCTGGCAGAACTTGCAGGTGAAGTACGCCTCTGGGGAGCCGGAGCGAGCGCTCGGGCCGTGCCCCACGGCGATCTGGGGCCGTTCCTCCATCTCGAAGTCCGTGTCTAGCATGGTGTCTCCTGGAAAGGCGCAGCGGGTAGTGAGAGGGCCAGAGAGTTCATTCGGCGCCTGGATTTGTCTATTGGCGCTACCTTTCTTATCCAAGTGATAAGTGTCACTGGTGTACGGCCGCCATGCTGCATATTCATGAGCATTGCGAAAATTTGCTGCTGTGACCACAAACGTGAGTTTAAACAGGAAGATCGAGTTCAGCTCGATTCTGTGAAAATACTGAAATTTTATCATTTTGAAATTGAAACAAAAGGCACTTATCAAGGCAACGAAACACCGAAGGGCTTAGCTATCATAAAAACTGGCCACTAGATTTACATTAAGCAGATTTTCACTCGCAATTAAAGCTGACATAACCAACGAAAAGACGGGCATTCCACGTCACACTGCTCCGGTGCCGTTAGCGACTTTTCAGCAGTTGAGCGCATACTGCACCCCTGGGCGCGGTGTGCTGCGCTGAGACCAGGGCCCACTCCCGCGTGTGCCGCTCGACCCCTCCCACGTGCATCTGCAGGGGCCGTGCCCACGTGCCGACGGCTCTATCTCAGCCTCGCAGCGGCAACCTGCCGCTGACGGCCGGCCGACACGCAACGGACCGGCCGCCCGCCCGCCACCCAGAAGCGGAATGGCGCCCGGTCACGCGACGGAAAGGGCCGCTCGCGCCGCTGCCGGGGGCTGCTCGTGCTACTGCCGGGGGTCGCTCGTGCCACTGCCGGGGGCCGCTCGTGCCACTGCCGGGGGCCGCTCATCGCACTGCCGGGGGACCCTCATGCTACTGCCGAGGGCCGCTCGCGCCACTGCCGGGGGCCGCTCGTGCCACTGCCGGGGGCCGCTCGTGCCACTCTTGAGGATAACTCGCGCCACTTCCGGGGACCGCTCGTGCCACTGTCAGGGGCCTCACGTGCCTCAACAAGGGGCGCTCGGGCTACTCCGGAGGACCGCTTGCACCACTCCGTAGGGTCACTCGTGGCACTCCAGAGATCACTCCTGCCGCTACCAGGGGACCCTCGCGCCAATGAGGAGGACCGCCCGTGCCTCTCCAGGCAGCCGTGTGAGCAGACGGACGCGGACAGCTGCGCTGGACTCGGAGGGCGCGGCTGACGGGGCTGCGGCGGCCGAAGCCAGAGCTCCGCCCTCGCCTCTGCCGGTCTACGCCCGGCCCCGGAGGCCGGCGCGGTAACACGGTGGGCAGCTCCTCAGCCGGTTACGGTCGGGGCGCGGAGTTGTGGTCGCCGCACATGCAACCTGCTGACGGCTTACCGCCGCGCGCTGCAACTGCAAACCGATATTTACTTCCTGTCTCTCATTAACACAGATTTTGCACGCAATGCGCTTCATCGTAAAAGGCGGCTGCCTGCTGCTGTCCAAGGATGTTGCTATGTCTGGGAGAGCACTACAGGGAGTGGTAAGCACATCCGTCACAGTGCCAGACGGGCGATCACCGCCAGAGCAGGCCGCGCCTGCGCGTTACGGGCCGGGCGTGCCCCGTTACCGGACCGACCGACGCGCGGGGAAGCGAAGAAGCCTTGGCGGCGGCCTACGCACTGCAGCCCCTCTTCTGGGAGGCGGCGGACGAGCCGGAACGCTGCGCGCGTCGGTGCGGAGGGGCCGGCTTTGTGCCGGGTCGGGCGGGGCCGGGGAGGTGTTGCGCGACACCCTGACGCTCCGCCGGGCGAGCGGTCAGCAGGCAGTGGAAAGCACGCTCTGCGCCTCGCCTCCGGCTGCGCAAGCTGCTCAGGCTCAGTTCGAGTCGCAGGCGTCCGTTCGCTCCCGGCAGACAGGCGCTAGTACCCTCTGGGACCAATTGGAGTAAAGAAGTTGGCATGGTGCTACTTTTTACTGGGGTTTGGGCCTTTCGCTGATTTAAGATGTTAACATCTATCCCAAGAAAATATACGAAAAGAATGGCCTGAAAAGTTTTCAAATGCTCTATCTCAGTCTGGCGAGCCTTTTCTGAAAAGTGGAGCAGCTGGGAGAGAAAGGCGTCTGGGTCAGCCTGGGAACGAAACAAGAGCCGTTGGGTGGAGACGATGAAGGTTTCCTGCGGGGCCGCCGGAGTCAGGCACTAAAGACCTTGATTGCCACCAACGTAAGGTCGGAAGATAAACAAGCGTTGTGTGCGATCAGACTGATCAGACTGATCACAGCTCCAGAATTTGCACTTATTTTCCGCTTTGCGCTGTCCGTCTCCATACAGTTACAAACTTGCATTAGGAACACATTTTTGTATTGCGGATCATTGCTTAATCCAGGCGCCAGGGGCCAAGAATAGAGACGTCCTGAGGCCGACCGCAGACCACGAGGCCTCAGATTCCAGACTGCAAGAGATTCCAGGCGGAATCCATGATCTCGCTATCCTGGCCGCCTCAACAGCATATTATATGTCGTGAGACCAGCGCTACCACACAGTTCTCTCGTTAGCTCCCAGCTTATTCACACTCATGAGCCGTTAAGTTTTTTTGGCTGTCCACCTGGTCATTCCACATCACGTGACACCATATTTTACAACAAACCAAGCGCGTGGGATCCTGCCTGCCCCGCCCGTCTGCCGGCCGGGCCGCCCAGTGAGCCGCCCCGGCCGGGACGGCCCGGCGCGCGCCAGCACCGCGGCCGGCCGGGCCCGGCCGCGCTGGCCGTCTGTTTTTGTCCGACCGCTAGCTACCGTTGGCCGGCTTCTGTGTTACCCAATCATAACGCCGGGACGCCATTCATTGGAGGCGGCCGGCCGGCGGGCCCCGCGCTGTC